GAAATAAGCCAGTCAGAGAAAGACAAGTATCACATGATCGCACTCATATGTGGAATCTAAGTAACAGAATAAACCGAAGGAACAGAGTAGATCCAGAGACATGGAAGCATGAAACAGAGTGCGGAATCTCAGAGGGAAGGTGGGGGAGAGTGGGTGGGTGGGAGGTAATCAACCAAAGATCTGGTATGCATATATGCATAACCCATGGACACAGACAATAGGGTGCTGAAGGCTTGGGGTGGCGGTAGGGGGTCAATGGAGGAAAAAAGGGGACACATGTAATACTTTCAACAATAAAGAATTATTTTAGCCCTAGCTCGTTTGGCTCAGTGGATAGAACGTCAGCCTGTGGACCAAAGGGTCCAGGGTTCGATTCCTCTTAGAAGCAAGAGTAGCCTGGCCGGTGTGGCTCAGTGGTCGAGTGTTGACCCATGAACCAGGAGGACACAGTTCAATTTCCAGTCAGGGTACATGCCTCCTCCCTGGCCAGGAGGCAACCAATCGATGTGTTTCTCACACATCAATGTATCTCCTTGTCTTTCCCTTTCACTTCTATTCTCCCTAAAAATCAATGGAAGAGTATCCTTGGGTGAGGATTAACCAAAAAAATAAAAATAAATAAATAAAATAAAATAAAAATTATTTTAAAAAAACCACAATGTAATAAGTGTTATTTATAAAACAGAGCATTTATTTTAAAAATTAATTCCTACTTTAGATGAATGGATTAATTCCTACTATGATGAATGCCTTCCTTTCCTTTCCAGTCCTATCCGTGTACTCTTATCACTTTATGGAAAACCTCATTTGAGGATGCTATTAAAAGCAAGGACTTGGCAGATGAAATCACCTATCACCTGACTTGTTACAGATCCTGCAGAAAGCAAAAGGCTCAAAGGTAATCCAACCAAAAACCGGAAAAAGAGATTACTGTAATTTATAGCCCAAAATAAAAATTTTCTTCCTCTGGGGAAAAAAAAAAGACAAAAAGTGTCTAGAGCTTGAACATCTCCAGTGCTGTGGCATAATAAAAGTGCTGATTTGGAACGCCACCTAAACATGAAGTTAAATACACCATTAGGTGGACAAAGGTCTAAACAAAGCCTCTTAGAAGCAAGAGTAGCCTGGCCGGTGTGGCTCAGTGTTTGAGTGCTGACCCATGAACCAGGAGGACACAGTTCAATTTCTAGTCAGGGTACATGCCTGGTTGCAGGCTTGATCCCCAGTAGGGGGCATGCAGGAGGCACCCAATAGATGATTTTCTCTCATCATTGATGTTTCTGTCTCTCTCCCTCTCCTTTCCTCTCTGAAATAAAATACACACGCACAAACACACACACACACACACACACACACACACACACATATATGACAAGGTATTGACAAACATGTGAAGAAATTGGAACTCTCATATAAAATGGTGCAGTCACTTAGAAAAATAGTTTGGCAGTACGCAAAAGATTAAACATAGAATTACCTAGTAATTCCACTCGCAGGTATATATCCAAGAGAAATGAAAACATGACCATGCAAAAACTTGTAAATGAATGTTTAGAGCAGGTCATGATAGCCAAAAAGTGGAAATAACTTAAATGGCCATCAACTGATGAATGAATAAAGAAAATGTGTTCACAAAAATGAACACATGCTACAACATAGATGAACTTTGAAAACATCATGCTGAGTGAAAGAACTGACACACAAAAGGACACATCTTGTATGATTCCAATTATATGAAATGTCCAGAATAGGCAAATCCATAGAAACAGAAAGGAGATATAGGTGATTGCTAGGGCTGGGGAAAAGGAGGAATGGAGATGGACTGCTAATGGGGATGAGGTTTCTTTGGGGATGATGAAGATGGTCTGGAATGGTGATGGTTGAACATCCCTATGAATACACTAATAAACACTGAATTGTACACTATAAATGTGTGAATTACATGGTAGGTGAATTATATCTCAACTAGAGGCCTGGTGCATGAACTTCGTGCACTGGGGGGGGGGGCATGTCCCCTCAGCCTGGCCTGCGCCCTCTCACAGGACCCCTAACTCCTTACCACCCGCTGCTCCTTACTCCCGCTGCTCCTTACCGCTTGGCTCGCTGCTCCTTAGTGCTGCCATGGAGGTGGGAGAGGCTCCCGCCACTGCCGCTGTGCTCGCCAGCTGTGAACCCGGCTTCTGGCTGAGCAGTGCTCCCCCTGTAGGAGCGCACTGACCACCAGGGGGCAGCTCCTGCATTAAGCGTCTGCCCCCTGGTGGTCAGTGCGCATCATAGTGACTGGTTGTTCTGGTCGTTCCGCCTTAAATGGTCTCTTAGGCTTTTATTATATAGATGTAGCTATTTAAAACAGTTGTAGCCCTAACCGGTTTGGCTCAGTGGATAGAGCGTCAGCCTGCGGACTGAAGGGTCCCAGGTTTGATTCCGGTCAAGGGCATGTACCTTGGTTGTGGGCACATTCCCAGTAGGGGGTGTGCAGGAGGCAGCTGATCGATGTTTCTCTCTCATCGATGTTTCTAACTCTCTATCCCTCTCCCTTCCTCTCTGTAAAAAAATCAATAAAATATATTTTTAAAAAAACAAAAAAAACAGTTGTAGCAGCTAATACTCATGGGGCATTTATTACAGGCTCTGGGCTAGGTATTTAAGGTACACTACCTCATTTAATCCTCCTAACAATTCTATGAGATAGATACTATTACTATACCCCATTTTACAGATAAGAAACCTGGGAGACTTAGAGTGGTTAAGTAACTTGCTCAAGGTCAACAAAGAGCCTGGCTTTGAGGTCAGGTCTATGTGACCTCAGAGTTTAAACCCTTAATCACTTCTCATAGTGCCTCTTCTATCCAATCTACTGCTAAATTCTGTCCATTCTTCCTGGCAACATTTTGACATTTCTCATACTCATGACCTCATTTCCTTCCCATCTTCATTGCCTATCATCAGACTGTTTTAGCAAACCTAAACTCCCTACCCTAGTCTTTCTCTTCCAGACCCTTTGACACATTTATGAGGGTGTCTTCACATGAAGTTCCAGCTTTGTCTCTGGGTCAAAAATTTTCAGTGGTTCCCACAATCTAAAACACAATCAATACCCCTGCACATATTTCTACCATATTCCTTCCTCTCACCCTATGCTGCCCCATTCTCATCACTCCTGAACACACCATATACCCCTCTCCCACCTCTGGGCTCTTGCTTAGCCTGTTCCTGCTACCTGAGATGCCCTGCACCTCTGCCTATCAATGTCCTATCCATGTTTCAAAGCTGGCTCCTTGTTTACTAACTTTTTCTCAATTTCACAACCCTGCCTCCTTGCCTGTTAGAACTTAATCTCACTTTCTTACAGCAAAAAAACATATTCTAGTTATTCCAGGAGTATAAGGGTTATTTCTGACCCATGTCTACCTTCCCACAGCATTGCCTAGCATAACACAGGGCCTTCAACAATGCTTACTGAACAGAACTGTCATAGAAGATGTTATCTGGGCTGTATTGGGGGCAAAGAAGAAAGATGGGAGTATGTGAACCCAGGAACCATATTCTAAAGATGGGAGAAGATTCTGAGGTGACAAGACACATAGACTATGGAAAGGATACAATAGCAGGGTAGGACCCACTCTAGGACCCATATCCTGCCTTCTGGAATACCTGGACTGCCTAGAGCACTGGACAGTCTCCATGCCTGCTTCCCCTATGGTCCCACAAGCCACATTGGTTTCCTCTGTGGAACCAACAGGGCAATTAGTTAAGTTTGTATAGTGATCTGTTATTTCATGGTCTCAGCCCCACATGGCCCAACTAGGTGGCCTGGGTGGCTATGCAGGCTCCTTATACTCAAGGGCAGCTACACTTCCCATTTCCTACCACCTGAATGTGAAGATCCAACACTGCCATCTTAGTCCTCTGCTTGGGAAAGATTACCAATCTGGGAGGTGTGGTGGGGCAGTGCTGGGCTGGACAGGTCCGATCCAGAACAGCTATGCAATGACTATTAAAGAAGTGACAAGTGCCTGGAGTCCATTAGTATATCAGTAGTGAGCCAGGGGTAAGGGTTTCCAAACTCACTATTCACAGTACCCATCAGTGAGCCCTGGTCGGCACAGGGCACTCTTCATGTCTTCTCTGCATCTGTAAACTTCCTGAACATCAGCATTTTCTTTTCAGTTTCCATTCCTTTTTCCTGCCTCCTCCTCTCTTTATGGCAACATTTATTTCAGTGGGGGCTGAATGCATAGTAAAGGGAGTGGGACTAGCTGGGCCTAATCTCTGGAATACTCACTTGATTAGCATAGCGTTTTGGTAACTTCTTGCCAGTGTCAATGTCCATTTCTTCATCATATTTCTTATCTTCTTCCTCACTCTCCATCCCTGTCCAGTCATCTTCAGCCAGTCTTCTGGCATGATTCACATAATCCAGCCGCTTGCTAGAGAAAGAAAAGGCATAAGCAGAAGTGAAAATTTTAAAACGACAGCTTCTAGGGCTTTCTGCTTTAAACATTTTATGAGGAGCAGCTAGGCCTTTCTCCAGCTCCTAATTTTCAAAAACAATCATTTAGTTTACAATTTAATAACTTATTTATTTCCCTCTATCGTTATCTTCCTCTTTTTTAAAAAAATATATTTTTATTGATTTCAGAGAGGAAAGGGGAGAGAGAAACATCAATGATGAGAATCATTGGTTGGCTGCCTCCTACATGCCCCACACTGGGGATGAGCCTGCAACCAAGGCATGTACCCTGATGGGAATCGAACCATGACCTCCTGGTTCATAGGTTGATGCTCAACCACCGAGCCACGCCGGCCAGGTATTATATTCTTCTTTTTTTAAAAAAAATTACAGCCCTAACCGGTTTGGCTCAGTGGATAGAGCATCGGCCTTCGGACTCAAGGGTCCCGGGTTCGATTCCGGTCAAAGGCATGTACCTTGGTTGTGGGCACATCCCCAGTGGGGAGTGTGCAGGAGGCAGCTGATCGATGTTTCTCTCTCATCGATGTTTCTAACTCTCTATCCTTCTCCCTTCCTCTCTGTAAAAAATCAATAAAATATATTTTTTTAAAAAATTACATATTGTACAAAGTTTGGGAAATGAGAAGGAAGAACAGTAATCTTTGGAACCTAATTGTTCCAAAGTGATTTGTAAAGTAGCCCTGGCCCAATAGCTCACTTGGTTAGAATGTCATCCTGATACACCAAGGTTGCAGGTTTGATCCTTGTACAAGAATCAACTAAGAGATCAAGCACTGAGGCAGTGAGACCAACTCAGCTGGTTGTTTTTTTTTAAATATATTTTTATTGATTTTTTACAGAGAGAAAGGGAGAGAGATAGAGAGTCAGAAACATCGATGAGAGAGAAACATCGACCAGCTGCCTCCTGCACACTCCCTACTGGGGATGTGCCCGCAACCAAGGTACATGCCCTTGACCGGAATCGAACCTGGGACCTTTCAGTCCACAGGCCGACGCTCTATCCACTGAGCCAAACCGGTCTTGGCTCAGCTGGTTTTTTCTCAAACACACGTGTTCATGCACATAAAGGTGCACATGAGAGAGGGCATATGCAAGCACAATGGTCTTTTATTTCAAGAGTAGTGCCCTGGTGCACAGATTCATGCACATTGAAGGGAAATTAATTAGAAGGTGGCTGGCAGGGTGGGACTAGGCAAGATAGGCCAGACACACCTGGGGTGGCGCCATGGCTCAGTGTCTGCAGAGTGAGCGGGGTCCCTCGGCCTGGTCTGTGGGGATCGGGCCGAAACCAGCTCTCCAACATCCCCCTAGGGGTCCTGGAGTGCGAGAGGGCAGTTCTCGGGTGATGCACCCCGGAATTGGGCTTCCTCCTCTCTGGTTCCGGAGTGCGTCACCAGAGAATAAGACACCGCAGCTCAGCAGCTCCTGCCCCCTGGTGGTCAGTGCGCATCATAGCTACCGGTCAGACGATCACTTAGCCTTTTATATCTACCTCAACGCAGGAGCTGCCATGACTCGGACTGGCCATTTAAAAAGAAACGGCACTGCGGACCTGGTGCCCACAAAGCAACACTTGGCTCCCCCCAAGTGGGACACGGGCCCTGCCACCACCCTAGAGTGACAGCCCATCAAATTGCAGCCAACGCTGCTGAGACCCCATGGTGCCAAATGCGGCCCACAGCCCAGCCCGAACCAGAAATGGTCGCTGTGGGTGCCGGGTAATGACATCACGTAGCAACGCCCGGCTTCCTCTCCCTAGCGACAACTAGCCTCCTTGGAGTTTCTTCAGCCCAGGAACACGACTTGCTTTATAGCCAGCTGCAAACATTTCACACTTTAACCAAATGTCTGTGAAGCGTTTTCCCGTGCCTCATCTCATTTGATCCTCACAGAAGTCCTGGAGTAGGAGACTCGGTGGAATCTTATTTTTATTAGCCAGAAAACAGAGATTTAGAAAGTTTAGAAACTTGACCTGACTGAAAAGAAGAAATGGTGAAACTTGAAAATGACTTCAGGTTTTCTCACTGTGCAGAATATAGTCAAACACTGCTGCAGTTAAATATTTTACCCTTTGTTCTCCCTGCATGAGCTACAATAATAATCTGCTTTGTGTTAATATTTACTGCTGTGTTGCTGACAATGACCTGAAAGAGAAGTTGGGGTGCTTCACTAGGCCGGAAAAAGTTTAGCTACATCAGAAAGCAGGTCTAATTAAGCATGTTTATTCTATATATATAAAAGGCTAAGTTGACTTGTGCATGCGCAATACATATAAAAGCTCTTGCTGGCACTAATCTGTCATTGTCGATTGTGAATTTGGTTGACACTTCTATTATAGAGAAAGGGTGAATAGCAATATTAAAACATTTCTTCTAATTAATTTCCTTTCAATGTGCACGAATCCATGCACCGGGCCTCTAGTATATAGATAAGAGCTGGAGTGCTTGTACATGTACAAAAGGATGCATTTCTGTGGTTATTTCCCAAGCATTGTTTTAAGCACAAGAGAAGGAAACTAAAAAAACAAAAACAAAAAACCTGCCCAGCCCGTGTGGTTCAGTGGTTGAGCATCGACCTATGAACCAGGATCACGGTTCAATTCTTGGTCAGGGTTGCAGGCTCGATCCTCAGTAGGGGGCATGCAGGAGGCAGCCAATCGATGATTTTCATTGATGTTTCTCTTTCTCTCCCTTCCTCTCTGAAATCAATATATATAT